GAATCTCAAATCGCTGGCCAACATCGAGAAGCAGCGACTCTCCGCGCAGCTGGATGGGGCAGGCAATCACAATCACGAGCTGGAGGGACGTTGCAGGCAGTACGAGCGGGATCTGCAGATCCAGAGGGATCGTCTAACCGAATCGGAGATCAATGGGGAGAAGCTCAAGGAGGAGCTGCGTGGCTTCGAGTCGCGCTGTCATCGCCTGCAGAACAATCTGGACAGAACTCAAGGCGACCGCTTGCAGTTTCTGCGGGGATTGAGCAATCTGCTGAATGTGCCCGAACCCTGCGAGACGTTGATCAAGGAAAAGCTTAGGGAAACCCTCAGCGAGAATCAGGCAATGCATGCGGTGGGTTTTGGTCTCTAGACTCTGTCTATTCCCCCACTAATTTCACTCCCTTTTCTGCCCCACAGCAAATGCATTCACTGCGGGATCAACTAACCAGCGAACATGAGAAACTCAAGGAAACCCAACAATCCACCGAGTGTCGCCTGCGTTCGGGCGAGGCGCAAAAGTGTGAGCTGTCCGAGCGGCTGGAAAAGTGCCACGCAGAGATTCACACACTCCGCAAGGATCACATGGGTCTGTCGGAGTTCCTGCAGCGTCTCGCGAGTGCCTTGAACTGGAGCGAGTGCTCCGCGCCGCCTGCTCTAGGGGCAGACACCAATCTGATGGCCGACAGTCTGCTGGAGCGTGCGGAGCGTTTGACGGCGCATTGTGAGCACGAGGTGCCACATCATCATGGACACCATCATGGACACTCGCCCGACAAGGGCTGCTGTGATCACGGGGGACATGGACATGGCCATGGCAAGGTAAGGAGGGAGCGTTCCTGCCATGACATTCCCCTGAAGGAGAGCAGCAGCGTCTACAATCTGCAGCGTCGTGTGCGTGTCCTGCGGGAGCAAGTGCAGCGCAGGGATCTACACCTGGAGCTGCTGCGTCGCAAGCTGGCCATCATTGAGGATGGAGCACGAGGCAAGTGCATGCTCCAAGGCGAACGCGATGATGCTGTGTGTCGTGCCAAAAAGGCAGCCAAGCAGGTGGACAAATTGAGCGCCCAACTGGGCGATGCCCGTTCCCAGATAGCCGAGGTCAAGGCCCAGCTGGCAGAGGCGGTGGAGTACAAGATCACCTCGTTGGAGCGTGCACGAAAGATCGATGAGTTGTCCACGCAGCTGTGCGATTTGGAGGATGAGAAGACGCGACTGCTGTCCCAGCTGAGTGCCATGAAGGAGCGCATGAAGGCCGCCTGTGAGTCGAATCAGAATCGCAGATGCCGCGATGAAGCGTTGATTAATGTGAGTGGAAAGCCTTTTCCTTTATCCGAAGTTCCTTTTATAGAACAATATTTGCTTCTCTTTACAGTCCATGCGTGACGATGTCAATCGCTTGAGTGCTCAGCTCTCGGATGCCAATCAGCGGCTCTCCCATCTGCAATCCTTTCGCACCTCGGTGGCTCGCACTTTGCATCTGAGGGATCTGCCGGAGACGGATCTGCTGCATCGTCTGCAGGCCTTGTGCTCTGCCCATCAGGAGTTTACGCTGCTCTCGAAACGCTTTGAGACTGCCTCCCCGGTGGGCGATCATCCTTGTCCGCGCTACGATGATCCTGTGCCGCCTTCGACCCACTGTCGACCGCCTCGGGAGCTCAGCTCGCCGCCGCCCTTCCACCACAAGACCACACTCCATCCACATCCACATGCACATGCCAGCGGGGAGCATCATCATAGTTCGAGCAGTCACATCCACAATCATCATGGAACCAGGCATGAATCACATGGAGCCCATGGCTCCCATGCGCGACGACAGCGCAGCAAGAGCCGCGACAAGCGACTCCACGATGAGTGCTTCGACACGGATGTGCATCGCAGGCATCATGGCTGCAAGGATGAGCTGCTGGGTGCCGGTTCCGGCGGCAGTTGCGACGATGATTATGACTTTAAGAACAAATATTGCTAGGAGTCCACAGCCACCCACTCCTTCCGCTCAACCAATTCGACATACGAGTGCGAATCGAATCATTCAAATGCATTTATTGTGAGCCTTCGGGGTGTTTTATTTCTGTCTTTAATAAATGAAAGATTTTCTTGAGATCTTCGGGAGGTTTCTAGGGGTAGTTTGAAGGAGAAAACAGCTGGGAAATACTCAACCTCTACTGAATGAGGAAAGTATTGAGTAAAGTTCAATTTTTCAGGTTCTTAGAAACATTCATAAATGTAAGTTCTCCCATCGCAGTTGACTTTGCGTATAGATATATCCTACCTCTATTTGAAAATCTAAACACTAGAACGGAATATCCAAATCCAAAGAAATTTTTACCCACACAAAAGCTATAGAAAAACTTGTTCAAAATTCTGTTCGTCATATTCCTTGGTGTAACACTTATTTTTATGACTATATACGTGCTTTATTTTTATATAATAAATCCATCTTCTTAATGTGATGAAGTTCAGATGGAATGATGTTCAAAAAGTTGCGCCATGATTTATTTAAGGAGGATCAATGGCATTCACCTAGTGGCAAGTATTTTATAGTGATTAAACGTGAAATGAGATTGAACTACTTTTCATGTTATTCAGAACGTATTCACTAATTATCTGATTTATTCGATATTTTTTTAATAGATTCTCCTAATTTCTGTTCAAATTACAAATTTAAAACGGATATTCCACCTCTCAGCCACACTGGCGCCACGGGCTGACTGGGAAGCTACTGCGCACACAAGTAAAAGCTCGCAGCTATAGCAAAAAAAGTAGCTACCAAAACTCCCCGCACACTGATGGAGGGCGCACTGCACACGTAACTGAAATTTGAACGATTTTTGTGTCATCTGCATAGAAAATACAATTTTTATGCTGGCATGCAGCATGACCACATAATAAATTGTAGATATCTATAAAGATAGAACCTCCTTCGGGCATTTCCGTACAAAATTTATGGAAGACACTTTGGATAGCAAGTAGATTGGATGCAACTTTGTTGTAGAGCAAAACGCACAGAGATCGGGTCGCTCAACTGCCATAAACCCATTCTCCACAGGCAGGGGCTGCGACTGAGCCTTGGTTGATTGACTTCTCTTGATATTAAACCGACCAAATTCCCGCCCCTCTGCTGGACAGTCGACCCCCCCTCACTTTTCTCATGAAAATTATGCAAATGGCAAAAAGTGTCAAACGCATTGTGGTGGCTGGCTGATGGCCCCCATCATGCAGGCCTGTCAAATAAATCAAATTTGACTACAATCCCAGCCCGGTTTTGCCAGCCAATTCCAAGTTCAGTGGCGCTGGAGCCTGGAAATGGGCGATTAATCAAGAGTTCAGCAAACGCTTTTCCGAAGAGTCACTGCCAATGGAGATGCATAATTTTTGCATGTGGAATTACATGACACGTGAGCTGTAAGTACTGCCATCATTTAACCAAATGAAGACTGCCACACAGACCTGCCACAGACGTTGCACAGACGACGACGAAGACGATTGTCAGAGCAATGAACTTGGACTTCTCTTGCAGAGATCGGCTGGAGCACGCTTGACTGAGCGCAGACACAGCCAAGGGGCAAGGAGCTGCAGCAGTCAGAACAAACCAAAGAGGCAGCAAACATGTTTGGTCTGGTGGGGTGGTGGCTGGCAGCCCCACAACTGATTGCCACATGTACGAGAATGCGACTGTGTGTGCTGCCACATGTGCTGCCTGGCTTGTCTCTGGTTCTGGTTGATCTTGCCACATGGCTACGTACGTACGTACAGCGGGGAGCATATTCGTTTCGCAATTGAGTTCCTTCTGGCTTCCAACAGGTTTAACTCTTTGATCTGCCCACCTTCCTTCTTCTCTCTCTCTCTCTCTCTCTTTCTGTGGCGACTTTTGATCTTTCGCACAAGTCGGAGCAGGAATTGGAGGAGGAGCTGCAGTGGAGGAGAACATGCGCCCATTAGACCCGGGCAGAGTCACTCAGGTGTGGCATAAGCTACAGGAGAAGCTCCAGCACTGCAGGCAGGCACTGAGGATGAAATAGAGGAGCAGACACACAGTCCAGAGCCCAGAGCTGGAGCCTAGCCCATAATTAATATTGTTGTAAATTTGATTTAACACTTCATGGCCGAAACCAGTTGGCCAAAGAAGTCAAGGAACTTCATTTAGATGCCACTCCGAATGCCACTCTTGGGAATGTCTTTTCCAGCAGCAATTTATTTGCCTTCCCCTTTAAAATTCATTAATTAATTTACACCACGCGCAATTTGCATTTAGTTTTTGCCATTAAATAGTGTACAAAAAACTGTAACAAATTAAACATTGTTTGCATGGTAATTAATTTAAGAGATTAAATGCAGCCCCAAAACCTTTACACAAGCCACATTAAAATAATAATATTTTCAGTTAACGCAAATGGAATTCACAAATAAATTATTTCCCTTACCCACAGGACCATAAACGTTAATTATGGAATAGATGCATTTTATTTTATTTGCCATTTCTCGTGTGTGGTTTTTCCCAGCCAACGCTTGGTCTGCCCTGCCTCTGACTCCTTCAAATTTCGAGTCTAATCAACTCAGTTCAGCAATCAAAGCAAAAGTGTACCCATCCTAGAGCAAATTCGACTAAAATCAACAGTCGGTATTGGGGGCAAAGTGTCTGTGGTATTGATTAAAAATGTGGATTACTATTTTTGGGCCAATTCAAATTAAATTGGCATGTGTATGGCCACTGGACTAGGGCTAAGGGAAGGTAATGGGAGTGTCACGGAGCTTAAATTGGAGTCCGGAAAGACTGAAAGGATAGCTGCTTGTGGGGTTTAAGTTTCGAAATTTGTGCTTTTCCTCACAGAAATTTAATTTATTTTCTGTTAAACATTGGGATTTATTTTCTTTTCAACACTTTCGACTGCGTGCCCGATATTTTTGAAGGTCTGAGATGCCATGTGATAGTTTTTTGTTATTGTTATCGATAAATATGCTTGACATTAGCCAACACCAGTCTAAACATTTGCCTAATTACAGCGAATTAAATTAACAATACTTCCCGGATTCATGCCTTTAAGAGCGAGTAGCATTATTAGGTGCACAATTAATCCGCAGCACAACTTCTCATCATATTAATTACTCCCAAAACAACTTGTAAGTTTCTGTCAATATATTTATGCTTCCAATCAACTTCCAATTTGCATTCCAGTCAAAATGGACAGCAAGGGTCGCCACATAATCGTCTGTGACTATGGCACGGGATCCGTAAAGTGTGGACTGGCTGGCAGTAACTTTCCCGCGCACATTTTTCCCTCAATGGTGGGGCGTCCCATGCTTCGTGCACTAAATAAAATCGAAGTGGATAACCTGCAAGTGGACGATGTGATGGTCGGCGATGAGGCGCTCGAGCTGCGCTCATTGCTTGACTTATCCCATCCCATGGAGAATGGTGTCATACGTAACTGGGAGGACATGTGCCATGTGTGGGACCACACATTCGGGCCAAAGAAGTTGGCCATTGAGCCCACAAACTCCAAGATACTGCTGACAGAGTCGCCCATGATGGTGGCCAAGGATCGGGAGCTGATTACCGAGTTGCTCTTCGAGCAATACGGCTTCGAGGGAATCTACATGGCCTCCCAAGCGGTGCTCGCGCTGTATGCCCAGGGTCTGATGACGGGCGTTGTGATCGATGCTGGGGATGGCATGACGCACATTTGCTCCGTCTACGAGGAGGCTGCTCTGCCACATTTGACCAAGCGGCTGGAGGTTTCCGGTCGGGGCATTACGCGCCATTTGATCAAGTTGCTGCTGCAACGGGGCTACGTGTTCAACGACTCCGCGGACTTTGAAACTGTGCGTCTGATGAAGGAGAAACTCTGCTACGTTGGCTACGACATTGAGCAGGAGCAACGGCTGGCCGTGGAGACCACAGTCCTGGTGGAGTCCTACAAGCTGCCCGATGGTCGAGTCATCAAGGTTGGCGGCGAGCGTTTCGAGGCGGCGGAAGCTTACTTTCAGCCACATTTAATCGATATCGAGGGTCCTGGCCTGGCTGAAATGGCTTTCAATGTGATCCAAGCAGCGGACATCGACATGCGGCCCATGCTGTTCCGTCATATCGTATTGTCGGGGGGTTCTACCATGCTGCCCGGGTTCCCCACTCGCCTGGAGCATGAGCTGAGAAAGTTGTTCCTGGAGCGAGTGCTGCAGAGTGAAGTGGAGCAAGCGCCCAAGTTTAAGATACGCATCAAGGATCCACCAACACGCAGCTATATGGTCTACACTGGCGGCTCTATTCTCGCTGAAGTGACAAAGAATCGGGAGGAGTTTTGGATTTCCAAAGAGGAGTACGAGGAGCAGGGCGTTAAAGTGTTGGACAAGCTGAAAAAGAGTGTAACCAAGAAGGAGAAAACTAAGTTGGATTGAAATAAAATAAACTTAATGGGAAACCAAACGGGAAGAGGGGAAGTTCCATCATTTATAAGAAACTGAAACAGGGTTCAGTTGAAGTCTCTCTGCCTAAGTCTGAGCAGCGAAATATATTATCTTTGTGGGTCAAAATCAGAGCAGTGTCTCCTCTTCAATGTCTGCACCTTTGCATAATTCTTTGCTGCCAGTAAGTAGGACACAATACACATATATGGAAATGCCATAGAAATGGTAATGTGGACAAGAAAAATCTCAACTTGACATCACACGCGTGTGCAAAGGCCAAAGCAAATATATGCCCAAGCGAAAGGAGCCAACAGAAAGGTACCAAGTCGCAAGTAAGGCAGGCCGGAAGGTCACAAGTGCCTTTGGTGTCGTCTCGGCTCGGGTTGGGGTCGGGGCATTAAATTGTTTACAAATACAGAACACGCGTTGAAAAGCTGCCATAAAGAATGGTTGGGTAGTCCTCCGGGCAGCGACTTACCTTCTTCGGCCCAGGCATTATCTACATGTACATTTTCTTTCGAACTTAATGGTTTTTTCTCTTCTTTTTCTGAGCACAAAAGATTTCAGTAGCAACATCATCGTCATCATCGTCATCATCATCATCTGGGTGGAGTGCCTGACTGGCATCTGAGATGATTTTAATGCTGTTGATTGTGGGTTTTCGGATTGACATTTTTGCCTTCCACTAGTGTGTGTCTATCTGCAGCTGTATCTGCATCTCCCCTCTGCCTTTGCCGTTACGTACCGAGTTTTGTACGAGATTTAGCTAAGCCACAAGCTTCCGCTTATTGTTTGTTGGTAACAATTAAGCCGCACTTTTGTTTCAGTCAACTAAAATAATCAAAATGTTTGCGGCTCACCCAGGCACCCACATGTACTGAGAGTACAACAAACATTCACCCTACCCTATAGGCGATGCACTGAGGGAAATGGGAACTTCTGAAGCTGTTTTTGAACCCTTTTATATCATGTAAACATTCAAAAACCAATGGAATTGTAAAAGTACAAACGGCACAATGGTACCAGATACTTAGTTTAAACACATCCATATGGAAATATGAATAAATATCTCTTTAAAAGTAGTAAAATACGTAAAGTCGAAGCTGTTTAACAGAACAGCAGCGGCGTTAACACCCCCATGTTAACAGCTCCAAGCGGTCTTAGTTAACAGTCTATTCCCGCTCCTCATTAACAGTCTGTGGTCACAGCCTTTTACAGCTCACTGTTAACCCTCTCTACGCTGCACTCTCTCTCTCTCTCTTTGCAACCAAGCACCTCGCGCTCTGGCCCTTAAGTAGCTTGTACGCTAGAGATCTTTATCTCTAATGTAAACATATCGCACCACTACTTATTCTTCGCTCTCGTCGTTAGTTAACTCTTCAACTCCAGCCTCAAATCAAAAAGGTGTTAAAGCGTGAAGTTAGATTCCCAAATTTAATCATTTTATTTCAGTGTAGGAATGCCCCTGCCCATGTGTGTGCGTGGGAGCGAGGTAATCTTTGTGTTGAAACCGAAAGCAAATGCAATTTTGAACATTTTTCCTCTATTTTCATGCCAGAATTTAGATTTGAGTTGAAAGCTGGGCGGGTGCTGGTTGCCGGTGTTGGTTGCTGTTTGCTGGCTTTGTCCGTGAATTTGCATGTTTTGCCAAGGGTTCTGAGTTCTCCTGAGTTCTGATGCCAGGCAGCTGCAGCAAAATCATAGAGGGGATTTGGATTGCTTTACTATTGGCCCCCTGGACCCAGACAATGGCATCAAAAATGCAGCCGCATGCAGGGCAATGGCTAATACACACAAACACACACACACACACAAACACACATATGTACGCTGAAAGTTGAATACCAAATCGCATTTTTCGGGTTTGATTAAAAACATTTTCCGTTTTCGGTATTGGAATGGGCTACGTGTATGATGATGAGCTTTTCTGGTGGGTAAGGGTAAGCGGATAATGAATGGGATTAAGTTCGAAAAATTGCAAAACACAAACGGAGGGGGGAGAAAGATTAAAATTGAATGCCAATTGAGGGTAAATCGGGACTGCTACGTGTAAGTGGTGGCTTTTGGGAGTATTTTAGGAGCAGCGATACTGGTTTTCATAAGAAAAACAGCAGCAAGATATTGATTTTAATTAAATAAAATATGGGTTACAGAAACACGCAACTAAAGCAAACAATTCTTCATTTTTGCATAAAAAAGTGACAAAGAGCTGACCCAATAAGAGACTGATACCCTCCATAATTACCTACAATGAGTGAACTCTGCTGTAACCCATTTCACTTGCATGCAATGCTTTGCCATTGTTTTGAGCTTAATCAAGGTCGCCCATTAATTAGACTTTCAGTTGTGGGAATTTGTGGGAGTCAACTGCAAATGTCTTCAACTATTGTGTTACCATTGCATCAGAGAACGGATTGCTGGGATGCCCAACTTCAGGCGGCAGGCACCTGGGAGTTGTCCAAGTAAACTTAACTGCACATTATTCAACGCGAATGCAAACACAGAAATTGTAGATTTTAATTGTTCAACATGAAATAATAAATGTGCTGCATAATGGCATTTATAATGGTAATATACGCAAACAGACATAAAACAATAAAACGACCATAAAATGCAAGCCACAGAAAGACAGAAAGAGATTGTCCATGGATGGCTCCATGGTGGCCAGTGGCCAGTGGCTAGTGGCCTCTCTTGACTGCCACACGATGTGTCTTAATTAGCATAAATGTGCATCGTGTGGCACTCTGCTTGCCACTTGGTTATGCAACTCCAGCAAAGAGCCAGTGCAGCAGCAGAAGCAGCAGCAGCCGAGCCTAGTGTCAATCAGAATCAGGCTACCGTTTCGCTCCAACTCTGACAGAATCCACTCACTCTACATGTCCAACATCCAACATTTGGTATTCCAATGGTGTTCCCTTCCCCCCACTTTGGATGCATAATTATGCGGGCACTCGTAATGGTTTTAATTGTTATTGTAATTGGTAGTGCATTTCACTGGCAAAATAATTGAGACATGAGGGTTAAATGATTGAAGTCTGATACGAGTACCAGTCCGACTCGCATTCCTGACATTTATTTGTGGCCAAATGACAAAAGAGTAGAGATTATTGGCTGGCTTTTGCTTAATTGAACCTATTTGATGGCACTTAATGAATTGTCTTTAATTGTTTGAATGATATTTGGACTACCTTTTGATGTAGGTTTATGAAGTGAAATCCAAAGTGGCGGGAAAGGCAATCGATAGGCAATTCATATTTTGTTCAATTAATGTTTCAGTGAAGGTGCTTAGAATTGAGTTCAGAAAGGATAAAATATTTGCTATCTTTAAGATGATTTTTGTGCTAGAATTTAAGTACTTTAATTCCGGATTTATAATTCATCAGATTTGTGACTCCATTTGTATTTTTGTAAGAGTGCTAATATTCATCTGGGAACTGCCTTTTGCCATCGATATTTTCATATTTTATAGAAAACTTTTCATCAGTTTTACTCCCAAATCCATGACTTTAAATCTCATTTAAAACTCTCAAAATTGTACTACACTTCTTGTTGGTTTTTTCTCTCAGCTTTATTTGATTTTTCGCAATGTGTTTTTGTTTTTGCTTATGCAAAATATGAAGTTCAAGTTACATAAATCATTTCATAGTTATGTCAGATGCACTGCTTACAGCTACATATATAATATATAGTTAGTTATAGCATATATAATATATTCATAATATAATACATAGATTTAAAAAAACATTTATATTTGTGTCGATTAAAAAACAAGCATTTTCATTTATGCTATCAAAAACATTTCTGCAGCAAATTGCAAAATGGACTTATGCAGATTACATACTTGATGTATGGGGGGATTATCGGGCACTATATATACTATATGCTATATATATAATAATTATGGTTATGGTGTGTTTTGTGTGATATTAGAAAAGGTTTACAAAAACTTCGCATCGCTTATGACAATCGTTTGTTAACCGCTTGAATCGCTTGAATCGTTCGTTAAATCGAATATATTGGATTATAGAACTATAAACGTTGAAAACTTCTCTTACGCGTTGATTTATAATTGTTTTTTTTTTATGTGTTTTCTTCTCTTTTCCAAATGCTAATGTTAATATTTCTAGGTTTTTTTTTGTAGACGCCTAAATCGTATCACAGATGAATGTGTGTGCCATCCGAGAACTCTAGGCTCGGAGCACACACATTGGCATAACTTAGGCCCGAAACGAGGCTATAACAAAGATATATCTTTAATCTATAACTCTATCAACTAAAAGGGATGATCGCTGGAATCGGGGGGGTTGGCGTTGGGCTTAATTCTGCCACCAGAGGGCGCTCGTGTTCCAGATCCACGCGCCCGACCCTACTCAACGATGCTGCTGTGGATTGTGTGGACCAAAGGCCTGCATGCTGTAGTACCGCTCACTATCCTCCTTCACCACACTGGTCACATGATGGAACTGGCACGGATGCGAAATCTGTGACTTGGGCGGCAATGGGGCGGCCTTTGCGCGCTTTTGCTTCTTCTGTTTGCGTGTGCCGGGCACTGTCAAGGCAATGTTCTCCGGATCACTGACCAGACGCTCCACATGCTGCCACAGTTCGCGTGCCGCGTCTGTGGAGTCAAAGCTGAAGCCAATCATCTGCTGGTGATTGCTCGACAGGCACATGGTGTGAAAGGACGGACCCGCAATGCGATAGTTGGACAAGTTGTCAATGCGATCCGACCAGAGGGCAAAGCAGGAGCCACGCTCAGCCAGCACAAGGGTCACTCGTGGCATGGACCTAGCCCGTGAGTTGCCCTTGTCGTGGAGGATTACGGGTATGCCCGTGAACACCAGACGCCAGTCACCATCGTTGCCAGTTCCCTCGTACAGATTGGCCAGGGCTCCGCTGACAAAGATCTCTGTGCCCAGTCCCCCGAAGAAGCTCTCCACCTGTCCGCGCTCGTAGTCGGAGAGGTTTGTGTTGCTTGTGGTGTCCGTGCTGATGGTGTCCGCATCAATGTCCGATGCA